AAATACAGATATATAGCTACTTCCGAGGACATACACACCTTCCGAGGACCTTTTTCATAGTCCTCGGAAAACATAATTTATATAATAGTTAATTCAATTATTAATACGTTTTGCGTAGCTTAGGTTTAGTATCAGGGGAAGGTATGGTTCACGTTATATTAATATTAATATAATTGTACCATACCTTGCCCCGATACTAAACCTAAGCTTCGCAAACATTTCTATGTTCAGTCACGGGATATTCAACTCTTGTTTAATTAAACTTAATTAAAATGCAATTCTCCATTGTATTGCATTGTAATTGAGTTTAATTAAACTCCAATTAAAACGCAACCCTATATAGGAACGCGTTTTAATCGAGTTCATATCGCAACTATATTAAAAGTTAATTCAACTATATTAAAAGTTAATCCAATAAAGTCCTCGAAACATATAGCAATACAAGTATGTGTATGTGTGTCCGACTGTTCCACTGCTATCTCAAGAACCATACATCGGTTTTTGATGAAACTTAGTGCATAGATGCTCTGGGCCAATGCGCAGATTTGATTAGGTTTTGGTAAAAATCCATGCTCGTTAATTACCTAATTTGCATGATAATTAGCTAATTTTTAGCTGTTCTATGACTGTTCCACTGATATCTAAAGAACCACTCATTGGATTTTGATGAAACATGGTACATAGATGCTCTGAACATATGCGCAGATTTGATTAGTTTTTGGTAAGAATCCATGCATATTAATTACCTAATTTGCATGATAATTAGCTGATTTTTAGCTGTTCCATGATTGTTCCACTGATATCTAAACAATCACTCATTGTATTTTGATGAAACTTTGTACATACATGCTCTGAACTAATGCTAGGTTTTGATTAGTTTTTGGTAATAATCCGTTGATACTAATTACTTAACTTACATAATGATTAGTCAATTTTCGGTTTTTCCACTGATATCTCAAGTACTAATTATCACATTTCAATGAAACTTGGTACATATATGTCATATGACACTGCACAGACCTGATAGTTTTTATGGTAATACAAGTCACTTCGTGATGAGCGTCTTTTGCAGTCAGTAATATTTACGAACATTTTTGTTCACTATTGGCGATCCGCTCTGCTAGGATTGCCCTTAAAATCAATTTTGTGTGTCTGTATGTGATTTCCAGTGTTTTCACATATTAATTCTTCTGTGATTTTTTTGGCTTGGCCTGTTTCCCTCCAACTTGGCAGGCAGGTCACACCATCACCCTAGTTATTAGGTAAAATCTGGAAAAAAAATTGGCCCACCGTTGCCATAGTAACAGCTAAAAACTGTGTTTTTTTTTATAGCTTAGTGCCAAATGTATCTCCTCCTACAAATTTAGGATAAAAATCCTCAGACATAGCTCATTCC